GTGTTGTTTTGTTTCAGGTTGCGGCGAGACGTCTCCCGAGGAAGATCAGCCCGAACCGGTGAGTCGTTCTCGTAGCGACGGGACCGCGGAGGCGGCCGGCGCTCGGGTCCGTCCGCCCTCCGCGGCAGGAGGCCGCCGGGCTCCGTTCGGGGCCGGCGCGGGGCTCCCAGGGGGCTGCCTCGGCTTCTCGGAGCCGGTGTAACGTCGCTGCCCGGCTGCCATTGCGTTTTCGGAGGGGACTGCCGCTCGGTTTCCCGAGCGCTAACGCGGTCCTGAGGGCTCTCGGTCCCTCCGGGGCTTTAGTTTCTCCCGGTCGCATCGGTAGGAGCGAGCGGGGATGGGCCGTGCTCCTCCAGCCTCTGTGCTGCTGGGAATGAGAAGCAATGCAAGGGGCTGCTGAAACAAGTTTTCTCCTATTGCAGGCTGAGCGAAGACAGCCTCTCATCATCCCGACCCGGTGAGATGGTGAAAGCAGTGAGCGTTTGGGAGTCTCTAGGTAAGCTTTCTATTGTTGGGGCTCGTGTAGGGCTGCTGCTTGGATACTTCTTTGGGATCAGCACGGTGCTGCTGCTGAAGTGCCTGAGAAGGGTTTTGCAGGTGCTTCAGCTCCTTCTGCTTCTAGTGGTGGGAGTGAGCTGGATGAGACGGCCAGTGGCATTCTGGGGTGCATTTAAAAAGAGCGTGGCCAGCAGGTGGAGGGAGGTGATCCTCCCCCTCTACTCTGCCCTGGTAAGGCCTCATCTGGAGTACTGTGTCCAGTTCTGAGCTCCCCGGTACAAAAAAGACTGACAGGGATCTCTGGGGAAGTGTCCAGCGGAGAGCCACAAAGATGGTGAAGGGCCTGGAGCATTCCCCTATGAAGAAAGGCTAAGTGAACTGGGTCTGTTTAGCCTTGAGAAGAGAAGACTGAGAGGGGACCTGATCCAGGTCTATAAGTATCTAAGGTGTGGGGGGCAGAGTGGCGAGGCCGGACTCTTTTCAGCAGTGTGCAGGAAGGGGACAAGGGGAAATGGCCAGAAGCTGGAGCATGGGAAGTTCCGCACCAATGTGTGCAAGAACTTCTTTATGGTGAGGTGATGGAGCACTGGAGCAGGCTGCCCAGGGAGGTGGTGGAGTCTCCTTCTCTGGAGATATTCAAGACCCGCCTCGATGCCTACCTGTGTGACCTGGTGTAGGGAACCTGCTTTGGCAGGGGGGTTGGACTCTGATCTCTGGAGGTCCCTTCCAACCCCTATGATTCTGTGAGATGACATTTTTCCCCCTCTTATTTTTAACCTCAGGAGTGTGATCTTGTTCCTATCGTGGAGGTGTGGTGGGACAGCTTGCATGACTGGAATGCGGTTGTGGATGGCTGCGTTCCTTGTAGGAGAGACAGACAGCTGAGGTGGTGAAGTTTCTCTTCTGGTGGGAGAACTGGAACGTGCCGAGCCTCACCTCCCTCCACAGCAAGGTGACGGGACAGCTGTAAGTGACCTGTTGAGCAAAAATTTCTAAGTAGTCACGGTGGGTTTGGTGAGGGGAAGTGATGCTGGACCAAGGCTGTAGCCTTCTGCGTTGTGACTAGTTAGATGAGAGAAGGGCAGTGGGTGGTATGGGGGGAATATCTTACTGTCAGTAATTATCTGAAGTGCAGGCGTCTTGCTGATGATGTGCTTGTTTGTGCATTGATGGGAGGTGTGAGGTGGAAACGTTCAGAGACTGGAATGTCAGTTCTTGTGTTGTGAGTGATGGAATAGGCTGTGGAGTTGCTTTCTCTGGGGGTCTGTGGGTTGTGTCTGGATATGTTGTTGCAGGGTGAGTGCTGCAATGGAGCATTTAGCAGTGAGGATCTGCCTGAGCGTGGGAGTGGTTTCATTGGAGGTGAGATGAAGGAGGTGAGTGAGAACCTGAAGGCTGCCCACCCTGTGTCCTCTGAGAAGAAGTGGTTCACGGAGCTCTTCTGCAGGTCCAGGGCTGGTGTGGGGATTGTGCTGTCCTTTGGTCCCTGAGCTGTGTGTGCTGCTCCTGGGCTGGAGTTTCCATTTGGGATTGGGTGCTGGGGGGCACAATTTTTTGTTTGCAGGTGATGGTGTGTGGCAGGTCTGCTCCTGGAAGAATGGAATTGACAGTGTGAGGGGAGGAGTGCAGCCTACAGGACTCTGGCAACCAGGCAGCCTGTGAGCCTGAGACTTGGGTTCCTCCATCTCAAGGTGAAACTGTACTGCAGTATGTGGATGCCACGGAAACAAAAGAGGACTGTTTGGAGTGGGTTTGCTGAATTTCTTGGTTTAAATGATTACCAAGTTTCTCAGTGGAAATCAAAAGAAGAGAGAGCAATTTGCTGAATGCCTGGAAAACCAACATGGATATACCTCTGTTCCTGGGGGGGCCTTGGTATGTTGTTTCTTTAGGTTGTGGTGTGGCTGGCATCCTGAGGGGAAAGTCCTCATCCTAGGCTTGTGGGTGTGCAGAGTCCATGGAAGAAGCAGAGGAGAGCTCCAGGTAGGCATGTGTCTGGTGTAGCCCTTTGACCTGGGATCCTCTTAGTGGGTGTAGAGATTGGTTAGTGTATGGGAACTGCTCAATCATAGCCTGAAGTTCTGATTGACTGACTGCCTGAGGTGAGCAATGTATGTGCCCTGCTGGAAGGGGTGGAGTTTGGCTCCACCTCTCTGATTTCCTGTTTAAGAGCTGATGAGTGGGGAAGGGTCTCTTGGAGTCTTCTCAGTGAGCCTGGAATGAGGGTAAGTTTTCTGTATGTTTCTTAATTGCAGCTTGTTAGCATGGGGGGATGTATGTAGTTTGTGTGGTTGCTTGGCTTGGAGGATACCAAAGGGGGAGAGCACAGCTTCTGCACTCAGTGCAGAAGCTGTGCTCTCCCCCCTTTGGTATGGGGCTGCTGTCTGGGTTTTGCACTATCTCAAAGAGATTATTTTTTTTTTGGTGGGAGGGTGGGTGCAGGTCAGTAACGGATTTTTTTCTCTTGCTGGAGTGTGGCCCCCTGAGGGAGGGGATGTGGGGGTGCCCTCCTTCTACTGGGGCTCCCTCTGAGGAGGGGCAGGGACCTCCTTGGTGAAGGGGTCTTGTCCCTGGGTCCTGGTGTGGGTCCTGTGTGGTGATGGCTGCTCTGTGGTGGTGCTCCCAGTCCTGAAAGTAGGAGATGGAGTTGGGTTCTGCGTCCTACTGAAGGAGAAAACTCAGTTTATTTCAAATCTCAGGTAAAGCTTGCTTGAAGCTCTGTGGCATGAGAGGGTGCTTGCTCTGAATTACTTTAATGTGTCAGGGGGGTGGGGGCATTTCCCTCTTACAGGGTTTGGGAAAGCGGATGGAGGTGAAATGCTTCTGTGGTGTCTCAGTATATGCCCTGCATGTGCTATGGCTGGCTTACAGCATCAACAAGCTAAATAGGCTGAGATGGTTAGGAAGGCTGCTGCCCTATTCTGTGACTTCTTTGCATCTCTTCCTGGGGGAAGTGAATTGGTCTAAAGGGAAAACAAAAAATGGAATTGCTCGTGAAAGCTCCTTTTGTGAAAGCTCTCTGAGATTGACTCTATTATATGAGTAAATGTAGAAAACTCTCTTGTGGGTAAGGCTTTACTCAGTGTTGAGGAGCATGCCTCTTGTATAATGTGCCCCACTGAATCACTGGACAGGTGACTTTAAATTGTCTCCTGCTTTGGGAAGTGTATCGCTTCAGTTTCACTTTGGAAAGAAATGAGGAGGTCTTCAGATGTAGTTCTGTTCTCATTTCAACATGACATAGCAAACATGACACATGTCAATGCGACTTACCAAAGCGCTGGTAACTAAGCTTGCTTCTGTGAGTTGGAAGCTGGTGACAATTTCCTTTTGTGGAAGAATTATTGGCTTCTAAAGGTCTTTTGCAAAGGCTTTCTAGCACAGGTGTGAATGCCCTGTGTGCGTGCAAGAACTGGAATGCCTATGAATGTCTGCTAAAGTGGAAGGGCTAGGCTCAGCTAGATCAAGCTCTTTGTGGTGAAGTGGATGCTTGCCTGTCTCTGGCTTAGAGCAAGAGTAAATCCTTGCTTACCTCCCAAAAAAGATATGGTGCCTATTTCTGTGCTTGAGCCTCACTCCCTTGTTGCTGATGTTATTTCTTGGGTAGCATGAGAAGGGAGATGAATGATCCCATAGGCAGTCAGCTGGCTGTATGGCATGCTCTGAAAGAAAAAGCAAGGCTAACAAATACTTACACGTTATTTACTGCAAAATTGTAAGTGTCAGACTGACTTTACACACTGAATGAAACCACCTGCTATGTTGCTGGTGTTTGCATCTTTGCAACTGTACTTCTGGATAGAAGTTTCTTGAGCTTCCTGAGCTCAAAGGCAGGTGAGCTGGCTGGAGAGCAGAGTGGCAGCAACTGTCTTGCAGGGGAAAGCAAGCCTCCTTTCCTTTAAGATAAGTTCACTGAGAACTCTGGTTTCTTCCAAGGTAACCTGAAACGTGCTTCTTGGCAAAACCCTTTTGTGTTGACTCTTGGGAAGTTAGTTACTATGAACCTTTGTCACCTTTGAGGCTGAGCTCTAATGCAAATGACAAATGCTTTGCTCACTGCTTGAACTTGCCTGGGTCTCTTTGGGTCGCATCCTGTCCCTCAAATGCGCTGACTGCATCAGACACCATGGTGTCATCCTCAAGCTTGCTCAGGATATAATTGAGCCCGTTGCTGATGGAGGTATTAAGAGCATTAGTCCCAGTACTGACCCCTGAGGGACCCCAGTCATCACTGATCAGCTTTCAGACATGCATCTGTTTTCCTCTTCAGCGAAAAACCTGGCTGTTGCGGAGGACAGTGTTAAACCTCACTGAAATCCAGACAGCAGCAGCTCTTGCCCGGTCCATTCATGCCATCGTAGAAAGAAAGGCCGGTAGGTTGTTCAGATGGGATCCACCCTTGTTGAAGCAGGTTGGTTGTCTCATTTCACTTCTCTCTTCCATGTGCCCCAGCACAGCTTCCAGGAAGATCTGTTCCACAGCCTCCTTCAGCACAAAGCTGAGGCTGGCAGGTTGGCAGTTTAAGTCATCCTTTATACTCTTCTTTAAAATCAGCATGTCCTCACCCTCTTTCCAGCCACCATAGATTTTCACTCGAGTGCCTGGGCTTCTGGAATATCAACAAGAATGGCTCGGCAGCTCTATACGCCAATTCCCTCAAAGCTCTGGGCTGCGTTTCACTGGGGCCCACCAGGTTCCTCAAGTGCCTGCAAACCTGATCTTTGCTTTCAGCAGGAGGGATGCAGTCCTCACCTTTCCACCACTCAGGGGGTGGGTGAAGAGCAGCTGACAAGAAAGAACGAGGCAGAAATGTTAAGTACCTCAGCCTTCTCTCCCATTATTAACAGCCTGCCTGTACCACTCACTGGGGCTGGGGTGTGGTATGCCTGCTTGGACTTTCTTTTTCTGTCTCATTTACCTGTGTTTTTCTTGGCACTCCAAGTACCACTGCAAGTTTGTCAGGGCCTATTGAAGTAATACAAGGCTCTATAAGCAATGAAAGCAGCAGTGACTGAGGGATAAACAGTTACCGGCATTCTAGAAATGGCAAAGCACTGGAGCAAGTTACCAGTCTTGCAGTTCTTCAGGTGCTAAGATTTAAACCTCTGATAGGAAAAAACCCAATAATTAAAGAGTCACCATTAACCATGCCTGTGGCATTGTAGATTGTGGCATTTGCTTAAAACAAGGTGTGTCATATAAAACACAGAACTGTACATAAATGCTGAAAAGAATGTCAGTATTAAAAAAAAAAAAAGGTGGTTCAGTGCTGAGTGCTAGTGTTTTTCTGCTGCTCAGAATATGGTTGTACAGCAGTGCTCCATTCTTCCAGGAGCTGCAAAAAGCAGCAGCTCCAACTGAATTTCAGAGATATTAATAATTAAATTTCACTCTCCTCAGAAGGAGGCGTGGTGCATGCTTAATAAGAAGGCTGTGCCACTTTGCGTGCTGTAAAAAGTCCTCTGTACAACAAAGCAGAAGATCCACCAGCAATTCAACACGGTCAAGGACAAAATGAAAAGGAAGTCTTTCCAGCTGGATGCCAAGAAAAATAAATAAAAAGCCACCGCAAGCCCAGTACCAATAGCTGCCTTTAAGCAGTTAGTTGAAAAGTGACAGCTCTTAGTATTTGTTGTTTCCCCTCTCCGTCTCTGACATGTTACTCCAAGCTTGAACACACAAAAAGCAATTTCACATATTTGTGCCATAGAGTGCTTTTTAAATACTGGCTTGTGACCTGAAGGAACGAACAGCATCACATAAAATGTAGTACAGGTGAGGGCAAGGCAAAACATACTTGTAGAACAATGTCAACCTTTTACATAGGTTAAACTAGGTGAAGCATTGCCTGTGGCACATAAAGCCAAATGATATTTTCATAAAAATCACTGAGTGCTGCCCATTGGTTATGGGCAGGATTTCATGTAACATTCACGTCAAAATTAATACGTTGCTTGAGTAACCTCAGTTCTTGTGATCATGTATTTCTGATTGAATAACTGACCTTAAGCATTTGATTAGCAACAAGAGCTAATTCAAGGTCTACATATACTTGAGATTACTGCAGTGCCCAAGCAGCAGACAGGCTTCCTCGGTGCCAGGACACTTGCATATGGGACACCTGCATACAATCTGTACTTCAAATAAAACCTTAGACACAAAATTCCATGAGGGATGAGCCTTCTTGCTGTGTGCGCTCTGGGTTAAATTACGCATTCCTTGTAAACATCCACATCGCTACCAGAGATGAATAGTTCAGGTTGGTGTTTGCAAAAGTATACTTTTCAGATAAGCTGTCACAACATACAAAAAAAAAAAAAAAATCCCCCCTAAGATGGAATTTCCATAAATCCCACAGTACTCCGTACTTATCCATTAGTTTATATAAACTTCAGATATGCCAGTAGAGCACAACGTATTTTGGAGTCTATAGCATAGCAGAGTCGGAAGTTTTCCTGGCTCAGGCAGTATTAAGAGAGAAGGCAGATTATATTGCTTAATACAATTATTATTTATTGCAATTACAATGTTATTATTCCATAATAAAAGGTGGGTTTTTTGGTGCCTTATCCATTGGATTTTCAGCATCTGCCCTTCAGAGTAACTTTATTTCTGCCCTTAGCATTTTTTCTTTTTTTGCATAATCTTGGGCACTTTTATCTTAAAAACAAACAAACAAAAAACAAACAAACAAAAAAACATAGAAGGCATTTAATGCTTGACGCCCAGTTGTACCCAGCTTAACCCTCGTTAAAAATATAATCCTTTATGTCCTTAAGCCACAGTATTGCAAACAGAAAAAATAAATACCATTTTAGTAGCCGTGACGCTGATGTGAAGTTATCTTTATTTACTGTTTTATCTAATAACATAACACTCGCAATATTATGCTTGCACTCATACGGGTCTTGCACACTTCTCGACTTCACTGACACGTTTAATCAACCTCAATGAATGCCTTAATGCTTCTTTTTCCTACCATAAATATTGTAAAATTCAAAGCTGGTAGTTCAGCTTTTTTCTCTCTACTGCTCCGTTATCTGAAATAAGCCTCACCTGAAAATGGAGTAAGAGATTTTCCCCGCTGGTGCTCGCAACACGTTCCTTGTGCTTACTCCATTGTTTCTTTGCATTTGTTGTTGGTTTTCTGAAGCGTACTTTTTGTTATTCCCCACACCCACAGTCCAGAGCAACGTCACCACATATTGTGCAAATTCAGTGGCCAGTTTGGGTTTTCAAGATACACACGACAACGGAAGTATAGTGAAAGATGAAGGTGGGACTAATGATGCAGTTGGAATTAAAGCCCACACTCCGTCTCTAATTTACTGAT